GCTGTTGCACAATCATGCACTTCCCTGGGGCGGCTGCGGGCTTGGTTCGGCCTCCCGTACGCAGCCTGAGGAGCCTGAAGCAGGGTGGCCCCGACCTGGGCCTGGGCCTGGGCTTGGGCCTGGGCCTGGGCCTGGGGGGTGCTCCCCTCGCACCTCCACCTGCCGCAAGCGCCTCTCGAGGGTTTTGGGCCAGAGCGCTTCTCTGGGGCTTTGACACGGGAGGAGGGGAAGCCTCGGTGATCTCCTCCGAGGCAAATCTCTGGGAGGCTGGAGGGTGTCCTCACGGATCCGTGTCTTGTGCTCTCGTGCTGGGAAGCCTCCTCTCTAGAAGCCTGGGGAAGCTGAGCGCTTTTGTATGGCGAATGAATAGCACGAGAGTGGGGTGAATAACTGAAAACGTAGTTGAACGTTGAAATTTATACAATCATTACATGTTTTTCTCGGGCAACGTGGGAAATGTACCCGTATCAACTTAAGTATTCGGTTTAAGGAAGTAATACTTGAAACCCAATCTGGAGCTGGTTTAATTCTTTTAATATGACAAATTTAAGACTCGAGAGTTATGAGGCTCTATCAGTGTATGTCAGTACAATACAAGCTACGCAAAAGAGTTTCTTTTAGCGTTGTCTGCCCGCCCTTTAGGATACTTCCTACAGGTAACATCTCTTTAGCAGTGTTGGAGACACCTTTTTCTGTTAATTGAATGCTGTTGCTTTTCTGTCTTAGGCTGCTCATAGCTCTGCCGGCCAATCTGTTTTTCCAGCCCCTGGTAGCGTGGCCGTGACCTCCGCCTTGCCTCCTCGGTTTCTTGGAAAATACTGCAACGAAAATCAGGCTCTTGGCCTGTGCTATGTAAACACACTGCAAATTTCTTTTTGCCTTTAGTATCCAGCAATTCTCTCATTTCCGAGAGAATCTTGACAGCGATTCCTGTGTACCTGCTTCTGTAACCTCTTGCCCAGTCCACCGTGGCTTCTCTGTGCCAGCGAACCTAGCTGTTGTTACTTGTTTGCCTACTTTGTCAAACCCTTTCTACCAAGCCACCTTGTTGCAATTTTCCTATCTGAGCTCAACATCTGCTGGTTTCTTCTGTTGCAGACCTAGCCTGAAGAGGCACTGCATTTTTTAGATAGTAAACGATTGCCATCTTTGACATAGAGTTTTAAATGTATTTATTAAATGGAAAATTGAAATGCCCTTTCCCATAAAATGTTCACTCAAAATGAGAGATGGGGAACACCGTCTTCATTTAGCCCCTTGGGTATTGCAAGCCGGTGGATAGGAAGGGTGTGTACTAGTGCAAATGCAGTACAAGCTCTTAGTCTTTTCTGTGCCTGGTAGCAAATGTCGTAGCAGTAAAGGTGAATGTGAAGGACTGGGATGGATCTAGCTCCTTAACCAGAATATGAAATTGCCACTTTCTGCTACATACTTCTGTGCCTGTAATATTCCTGAAAAAAAGGTATTCCTTTGTTGTACCACTCTGCCTGGAAGTAGGATGCACCTCTGTATGCAGAGGTGAAATGGGATGTTGCTTGTTACACCCTAACAACACAGACATCAAAAAATCTAAGACAAAAGAACACAGTGGGACAAGTGGCAAGATGTTTCACACCACAAGCAAAAGCATGAGGTTCTCCTAGCAGCTGTTCTCTGCAGTAAATTTGAAGTTATTGAAATGGTTACTTGTAGCCTTGTAAAACAGCTCAACAAGCTCGTCACTTACTACATTTTGAGCCTCATGACAAGAAGAGAGCAGAAAGAATTCACTTTCCAACACAAAGAATGAAGCTGTGGGTTGTACTTAGGCTGAAATAAGACCAACTGTAACAACTGACAAAACCAAGTAAGCAAACAATTGAGCGCCTGTGGAAGTGTATCTGTTAGGGGTTTTTCTACCTGGAGAACCACCCTGAAGAGTCTCCAGCTCAGTTAGTGTGATCTCTTCAGGCTAAAGGGCTTTAATGAGGAATTACACGTACTTTTTTATGACATGCCGCATTAAATTGTCAAGTGAATGGGTTTATTTTTTATTCCCTAATGGCCTGTCATTTCCACATGAGGTAGATTCTGCAGGCAAAGACAAACAAGTGTACTGCTCAAGCCTGGCAACAAGTCTTTCGATTGGGGTTTTTTTTTTATTTTTGTTTGTTTTGTTTCTTGATAATGTGCTTTAATAATCCTGTTGAATAGGAATATACAGTCAAGATATCTGTAGAAATATATGTTTATCTACCTATGTATACAGGTAAATTTCAATGTAAGAAAACATCTGCATTTCTGAATATAATGTTATCTACTAAAATTATGGACAAGTTCAGAGGAAGCAGATGAGAGAGCATCACAAACTCTGTCTGAAGTAATAATGCGTTTATTCTGACCCTTTCGGTTCTTCTGTGCTCACCTTGATACCAGGATGCACCAATAGAGGTTTTTTTTTTTCCTTCAAAACTCACAAACGAATCTTTCAGCTAAGCCAGTGGTAGATGTAACGCGATGTAATGTGTCTAGCTGAAATGAATGTAGGCTAATCAGAACTGATGGTGTCAATCCCTCCAGGATTACAGTTAATTGGATATTATTGTTATTGTAGTAAATATCCATCATATGAACACTGTTCTGTAGTTTGTCTTTAAAATGTGCTAAGAATTTACAGTTATATTGGAAATCGATGGAAGCACAAGAAGTTAACTGCCTCTGAAAATCCAACTTGAAGAAGTTTGTGGTTAGGGCTCAAAGTCAGAGAAGGGTTTGGCTTTGAAAGTTTGTTGGGAAATATTTGAAAGAGACCAAACTGGAACAAAAGAGAACATTCAGTGTAAGCAGAGGGCAGCTGGATGATCTCGTGTGCCTTAAAGAACTTGAGACATTTTTATAGCACTATGTGGGTGGTTAGGAAGGCTTGTGTATGCTTC